CAGTTTGAGCAGGAGCTGAATCGCGCGACTGAAAAAATCGCACAGAAGCAGCTATCAAAAATGTGTCTTCCTTTGAAACTGAAAGATTAAAAAGGTTTAAGAGATTATTTTTAGAAGCTGCTTTGTACAATGGCTGTACTGCAGAATGAGTTTGTGTTGTCTGCGTCACAGGGTGTAGATCTAGTTGATTTAATGTTGTTTTCTTTACAGATTTGGCTCCAAAGTCTTCTCTCCAAGTACTGGAATCATCCTCAACAACCAGTTGTATGACTTCTGTAGAAGAGCTGAAAGTATCTCTACAGGTAAAGGATCAGCACGATCCATTTTACATTTAATATTTATGAAACTCAAGCAATCACGGGAGAGCATTGGGCAGAAGAGGTGGCACAGTGAGGATTCTTTCAATGGCTTTTTACTAATGGCACAAAGAGTTTATTTTTTTAGTGGTAACTGTTATTTTCCCTTTCAGCAGTGGGATTAATGAAACACTGCCTCATTGTTAGACAAATCTTGTGAGACCAGTTTTAAACTGGAGCAACGGGAGACTCAGGAGCTTTATACAAAAAACCCTCCAAAACGTTATCCTACCTTACGTCAAGATAAACAAGATAAACTAAGTAAACACATCTTGTTGTGACCTATTATTATCTCACAGTTCTGAAATCATTTTCCTGACACAACATATTTTTCTTTTATGTAATTATGTCAAAGATTCAGAAGAGGCTGCCGTAACATTAAGACACATATTCCTCAAAATCAGGTAATGTCAGTGCCAGCCAGCTGCTCATCTAGGTCACTGGGACAGTTTGGGACCCAAAGGAGAGACTTCACACTTATGATGTAGTTACATAAATACAGAGAAATTTCCACAGTTCCAAAACAATTAGTAAGGTTGCAACTTACTATAATGATTATAGCATATTTATGTATATATGTCTGTATGTACCCTATCACCTCCTTAACCGGTGGATTAATCTGAACAAAACTTTGCACAAACATCGTCACACATACAGCGATTATTAATATTATTAATGCAGCAATTTTTATGGTTTTTTTCCATCATTCCTCTGCGAATGCGACGTTACGTTCTCCATTTTTTTTGTTTCACATGTCACGTTCAGTGTACCCCACCTATACCTAACTTAAAGGTGACCAACATTTGCATCTGTGTATTGTTTAAGTCACCACTAAATACAGAATGGTGTTTTTGCTAGTAATTGTAATAGAGATTTAGCCAACTTCAAATAGTCTACATACCAAGCTGTCCAAGGTTAGAAATAATCTGTTTACTTAGCGGCACATTTTATGTGTATGGGGCGATCGTGGCGCAAGAGTTGGGAGTTCGCCTTGTAATCGGAAGGTTGCCGGTTCGAGCCCCGGCTTGGACAGTCTCGGTTGTTGTGTCCTTGGGCAAGATACTTCACCCGTTGCCTACTGGTGGTGGTCAGAGGGCCCGGTGGCGCCAGTGTCCGGCAGCCTCGCCTCTGTCAGTGCGCCCCAGGGTGGCTGTGGCTACAATGTAGCTTGCCATCACCAGTGTGTGAATGTGTGCGTGAATGGGTGGATGACTGGATATGTAAAGCGCTTTGGGGTCCTTAGGGACTAGTAAAGCGCTATATAAATACAGGCCATTTACCATTTACCATGTGTTTGTGGTTGGGCATTTGAATAAATCATTTTCTATTTGGATATTATTATTGGTCCAGACATATTCGAAATTTCTTTCTATATTTCTGTACAAACACGTGTGAGTACTTAGCTACACTGGCACTTTTCTGTCGATGTATCATATGTTGATGTAACTGAGGTATTTATATACCTGATAAAAATGCATATTTAATATTAGCATGTTAGGTTGTGAGCATGTTGGCATTTTAGCATTTAGCTAAAATTAGCATGCTATTGTTAGCTAAATGCTAAAAGCTCTTCTGTACCAAAGCAGGGATTCATGGCTACGGCTGTATTCTAGAGCTAGTTAATATGAAGCTTTAGCACCTTTCACACCTTTAGGAGCTGTGGATATCTATGGGGCGCCGTTTGTAAAGTGAAACATGCTGAAATTAACGGCAACATTTTTCCACATTTAGCTCAAAACCTTACAAAAACTATTTTTTCGAGTAATTTTTTACAACATTTAGTAAAATATTTGTAACTTTTCATCAAATGTTAAATATTAATCTAAATGTTAATTATTAAATCTAAATATTATATTTAAATCTAAATGTTAAATGTTAAATCTAAATGTTAAATTTAAATCTAAAATATTAATTTAAATCTAAATGTTAAATGTTCTAAATGTTAAATGTTAAATCTAAATTTATATTTAAATCTAAATGTTAAATCTAAATCTAAATGTTAAATCTAAATGCTAAATGTTAAATGTTAAACCTAAATAGTTTAGGCTAATATGCAAATTTATTGTACGGATCAACGGAAATACCAAAATAAAAGCTTCCCGAAAACCTCCGGTGCAAAATTGTGTCTGTTCTCCTCCTCACTTCTCCCCGCCATGTGCTGCTTCACTTCTTGCCTACGAGCATGTCCAGCGATTTTGCTGGACATGTGCTGCAGCGATTGTGAAGTGGAGACTGCAGCTGCTAAGAGTGCACTACTGCTAGAACCTTTGGATGGCCGACAAAACGGATCTTCCGATGTTTTCAGCTAAATCGCCGGACGTGCTTTCTCATGGTCGGGTTATGGCTGAATTCCAGTGGAATGACGGTCCCGCCATAATAGACGTTCCAGCCATGTGTTCCAGCCCTAAACCTAACCTTATCCTAACTATAACCTTATTCCTAACCTTTACTAGCAGTTAAATGACGTAAAATAGTGTTTTCCAAATCGATTTTTAGAAAATGAACGAACATGTGTAGATTGAGTCCAAACGGTTCTCATGTGCTCTCCTTTTTCCGATGCCGTAATTTAGGAACGTGTTGGGTACCCGAAAGCATAAAATGTTGACAATTTGTCACCTAGCGAAAATTATTACGCTTTGGGAGTGAGAACGTGTCTGACCACTACCGGCACACTTTTGCACCGGAGGTTTTCGGAAAGCTTTTATTTTGGTATTTCCGCTGATCCGTGCAATAAAGGTCTGGCTTCCTCTTTAAGTTGCTTGAAGACGACATCACAATTGAACATTGGCATCCTCGAAGAGGTGTCCTTTATCCTAAGATGCAATGACTAAGATAAAGGACACTCTTTCGAGGATGCCAATGTTCACATTTTGGACAGAGAGGACAGATGGTTTGAAAGAGGAGTGAAAGAAGCCATCTATGTCCACTGTGAGCGACCATCTTTGAACAGAGGCGGGGGTTTACGACACCAACTCTCTGCCATCTATAATCCAGTTTTGAGATCCCTTCCCAGACGCCTTAACGCCCACTCACATCCTGGGCCATCTGACCTCAGGAATTCGCATGATAAGGTGGGGCCAGGTTTCACAATGAACACACCCGAAACTCTGGCTGATTGGGACCCACGCCCAGTTTCACACCTTGGCTCAGGCGATTAGAGGATCATCAGGGGGTCCTTTTGTCCCTCTGTGGGGGGTTACTCCCACTAGGTTTATATCTGGGACTCTCCACCATTTGACCTTAGAACTGAAGAAGCTTCTCGGATGAGAGGTGAAACGTCTTCAAGTAACTTAAAGAAGTCCAGACGCTTTTCTTTGCAAGCTCCTTTGACTACGATGACCTGGATGACTGAGAACCTTCACAGACTTTTATTTTGGTATTTCCGCTGATCCATGCAATAAATTTGCATGTTAGCCTAAACATTTAGATTTAACATTTAAGATTTAGATTTAATTTATTGTTAACATTTAGATTTAGATTTAAATATAATATTTAGATTTAACATTTAGACTTTAGATTTAAATATAATATTTAGATTTAACATTTAGATTTAACATTTAAAATTCTGTTTTAAATATGAAAAGTTACAAATATTTTACTAAATGTTGTAAAAAATGACTTGTTTTGAGCTAAATGTGGAAAAATGTTGCCGTTAATTTCAGCATGTTTCACTTTACAAACGGCGCCCCATAGATATCTTTCAGTTTTTCAAATTAGAAGAAATTTCTCATTTACAGACAGTGTTTTTTATTGAGTCTCAATATGGAGAGTGTCCTTTGTACTAAGAGAGACTAACTATGTATAGATATCCACTTAATTAGTGTTGCCTGCTGAAGTATTAGGCTGAACTTTAGAATATTTTTTGTACAGAAATAGTTCTGTGAACATTTCCATCAGTGTCTGATGTCAGATGCTGAACAAAAGTAAACGGCACATGTCAGGGTTGAATAAATGCCCTTCACCCTCTGCTTCACATCATTCAGAAGCAATCATTTTGTGATCATTTTTCTCCTAACAGTGATGAGTGTGGATTGTAGTTTTGTGCTGTCACTCAAGGCTTTTGTTGTATTTCTCAGGAGAGCAGCCTCCCTCCTCTATGGCTCCAGTTCTGCTGAAGTCTCAGTCAAAGACACTGGTGATTGGATCGACTGGTGGGAATATGATCACTACTGGAATGGCCTCGGTACGTGTCCAGGAGATAAAATGATGCAAACCCTCTTTGGTGTTAGAGTAAACATTGTAGTCAGAGGCATTTTCACCCTAATCCATTCTTTAATCATCACTTTCCCATCTGAAAGACTGCAATGTATTCTACTATTTCTCTTCAAGGCGCTCATAAACCACCTTTGGTTTGGAAAGAGCCTTAAGGACGCAATTAATACTCCAGTTGTTTATGTCGACTCTGAAAATGCAGTAAAGTTTGAACCCAACTTTGAAAAGGTACGTGTAAATATTCAGTGTATTTAAATGATAGCACAATAAGAAATTCTGCTTTTGTTCTATCTGAATCTCTTCTCCTCTTTGTACTTCAGGATGTAATTGAGGCTCTTAAGAAAAAGGGACACAATCATCAACCAGCAACACGTTTCTACAATGTAGTTAATGCTGTGGAAAAGGAAGACAGCTGTATCTCTGCATGGTCTGATGAAAGGAAAAAAGGCAAAGCAGCTGGTTACTGAGGCCAAAAGCCAGGGATGTTAGTTTAATAGCATAGCTTTAAGGTTATACAAATTCTTGCAGCCACAAAACCACAAAATCTGTAGCAGATGGTGTCTGTCCTGCTGGAAAATCATTGAACAAGATGCTGATTATCTGTCTTCTTCAGCTGAGTACCTACAGAAGCATGTAGCAGTTGAACTCGTGGCCTCTAGACACAACTGACTCTAACAGTAACATGATGGATTTTGCTGCACAAGAAGAAGCAACAGCCTTATCTGTGACTGTGCCTGACCCCCCCTTTCGCTCTTCTGCTTATTTGTACACATTTTACCATCTGGTACTTCTGCCATTTCTCTCTTCTCTGGCATTTCTTTCAGGTTTTCTGTTGTAAAAGCAACAGATACATATGTATGGTACATGATACTACACTCGTGTTTCAGGCATGTGCATAACAAAACTGAGTTTAATGATAAAATAATTCAATGTTCAAATCATAAAGCCAAAAGAGTACAAAGAAAACAAATACATCATAAAAACTGAAAAAATGTTATTATATTTTATAAATTATTGGGGATATATTGATATTGAATTTCATTATCTAAATTTTTATCAGCCAATTTAGGATAATAGTTGGTCTGATATTTAACAGCCAAATCTTTCTCTTAAATGTTGATTTCACAATCATGCAAATATTCAAAAAATATTCTTTGTTTGATGCCAAAATTTGGACATGAATAGACTGAATAAAAAAAAAAACAATCATTCACATAGACTGCAGATAAAAGAAGTGAAAGATCTTTGTTTGATGCCAAAATTTGGACATGAATAGACTGAAAAAAAAAAAAAACAATCATTCACATAGACTGCAGATAAAAGAAGTGAAAGAAGCACATAGTTTAAAATTACTTAAACCTGCGTTTTTTCTAAGCGTCGTGCCAGCTAGAGACAGTTGTATAGAAATCTGTGGGAAAACGGCTCGATTGTGGTGGATTTATAGGCTCAGTTCTTGCTTTTAAGCCTTATAGATTACATGTTTTGTAAACTATGCTTCACATGATTGTTCAGATGGATGAAACAAAAAAATGGTGACAGGCATAAGACATTAGAAATAGAACCCTACAAAGTAGTGGGTAACTTCACAGTGCCCGTGTCCCACTTGTATATTCAAGCTTTGTAAAACTCACAATTAAAACTTAATAGGCTAAACCAAATAACACTGGTGCGATTGTCATTGTCAGCTTCACAAAATCTAGAGGCAACAGACTATAGAGATTAATTCATAATGTTGTCTTAAATTGAGATATTCGTCCATTTGGTCGCAGGGTGTGTGGCATCAGTTTAACCTCCTAGGACATGGCATCCACATCAGTGGACATCACATTTTGGTTTGTCTAGACCAACATACTAAATTTTGCTCTACAAGGGCCTGATATCCACTTACGAGGACATTATACTGCCACTGTTCTATCGAAATTTAGATAGAATGTCATCTTATGTGGATCTCATTTTTCTCAGAAACAAAAATCAGGAAAAAAAAAATCAGGTAATTTTTTTACATTCATCAGGTCCCAAAAGCCCAAATAACAAAGAGAAATGAAAAATGCATGCCATGAAAGAGTTTAGGTCTTAGGAGGTTAAAATTCTTTAAAAAAATGAAATACCAAATATTTTTTGCTTCTTAACTTTAGTTTTTTTTTTCTTTTGGATCAGAGGTTCTTATGTCTGACATATAAATAGCTGTTCATGCATAGCATTTTTACCCTTTGTACATGAGGTGCTTTGTCACTGTTATTTTATGTACATATATCAAATGAAAATTTTGCATTTGTGCAAAACATATTCCCTGTGTGTATAATAGTAATGGATACATCTTCAAAGTTGCTCATTTTTATAATAAATGGTTGAATGGTCAGTACTTTAAATTTCACCTTAAAATGTTATAGATGCATTGAAAATCTGGTTTCTATTATTTTTTTATAAAACCAAAATGATTAAAAAATGAATATACAGTTGAAAATAATGTAAACAAAAGGAAAAAATAAATTCTGGTCGCAGTCGATGTTTGACAGCCAGGCAGTAATGGCTTTTTTGTGGATGTACCAATGTGCCCTTCTGCTGTTGGTCTCTCCCTCCAACCTGAGGTCACTGTTATTGATGTGTGCCCCGTAATGTAGTCTGTGCAGCCTGTCTATGTTGTTTCTCATAGATCAGTTTGAAATTTTTTGTGGGGGACATTGTAGCAGTTGGAACAAGATAATCCGATCAAACGTTGACTCATACATTCAGCAGAGACGTTTGCTGAGCGAAAGTTTGACGCACTTTCCAGTGAACACCTACAGCACGCAATCAATTCTCACAGCAACACAGATAAAATGTTATTTTACTCGTAATACAGGAAAATAAATCAATCCTGAAGGGAAAAGGTCAGATGATAAGATCCTGGTGTTTTTTAGGGTGGGCTGCTTTGCCCTGTCACATGGTATTTGGACCTCGGGGGGTGTGACAGTCACACTGTGCCCTGACCTTATAGGAGCCACCTGCTGCAAATGTCACATTACCATGTCTGGCAGCAGGAACAAAAGGTTGCCAGGAGACGATCATGGGTAGGGCCTCATGCGATGACCACCCTGCTTTTCCCTGGCAAACAGTGGCAGTTCAGGCATTTCACTGACAGCTCACAGCAGCGCAGATGATCTGCTGGCTGGGAAACAAGCACGACATTCCAATAACCAATCCCAAACAGCACGGGCTGAGCTGATTTCTTTGATTGCCCTATTTGCAGACTAATCTGCATAAATAAATAAATCTTCCTTTTGGGGGTCAGGTGCAGGCTCTTCTGGGGACCCAGATGTTCCAGCTGTTCGGTGTGTACTTTGACTGTTAAAATAAAACCCGACATCTGCTCTTAGTTTGAATTGGTTCATTTATTGGCAGTCAGTGTTGGGCATGAGACAGATACACAAAGGCTACAACAAGGAAGAGTTTGACATTGACACATGAAAACAAACTACAAACCAGGTGGACAGCCTTCTCCATCACTCCCAGTAAACATTCGACATGGAAAGAGGTGTCCGCTCTGACTGTGAACTACATTCACTGATCTATTTTCTGTTTTATTGCGTCGTCCCATCGGCCGCTTCCCTTTTTGCTCTATTGTTCAAGCTAACAGCGGGTCGCAGGGCTCAGTTTCATAGTCGTTATTGTAACTACTGAGTTGGACAAGTAACAAAACACCGAAACAATAACACAAATCATTACAGCAACAATCGGACAAATTACGGATACACACATATAACACACAGCAAACATTTATTATATATCTAGTGATGATTTTTTAATGATTGCTTCAACAATCAGGAGCCGTCATTTCCCCGTCTGCAGGTATACTTTCAGCTCTCTGCTTCACTGCTTATAATCGATGTACACAGAGGCTATGCTATGGTGAAACTGAAATATATAAAAAAAAAATCAAACTGCCTTAAAGTGCATCGCAGTGTTTCGGTCAGTCTAACTTAAACATCATGTGCTACTACAAGCAGACTAGAACCAATAGATAACAGTCATGGCTGCGTCTGATTAGAAAACACAGGACCACTAAAGTACAGCATCAATAAATGGGAACGACAACATATCTGTAGAGACACACAGCAGTAGGAAAGGGCAGCTTGGACACTGCTCTGACTTAGTGGCCCGCATGAACAGCTGGCTGTGGTGTCACAAATGCACTGAAACACACAGTGGGGATGAGCACAACATCTCAATAATCACACAGAGAAGGGAATAAGAGCATTCGGGCGAGTACAAAAGCAATCAGTGACCGCTATCCATTGTTTGGTCCTACCTGTTGTCTTCTAAGATTGCTTTGTTCACCGAACAGTGCACAAAAATAGCCTGTGGAAACACAACAGAGCCATGTTTTGTGTCCTCATTTACAACTACACAAGGGTGTGCGTGGGTATTCACAAGTGGACATTTGGAAAGGGGGGGAAAACGCAAAAAGTCGACCTAGCAGTTTTGCCGGGCGTCACGTGATGGGTCGTCGGCTGTATAGTCTGTTGAACTTGTGTCATAGCTTTTGTTGAGAGATTAACAGAGAACACACAATGTGGAGCTAGGCCCTGCCTGCCAGAGATAGACTCAGTCCTGGTAGAGAAACCCGGAGGGACCCACTGTTTCCAAACTGGCTCGAGTTCCTCTTCAGCTACCGCCGGGATGTTGCTCCTCCATCTGAGCAACTGATCTCAAACCTCCTCAAGATTGGCTTCTCAGCTGCCACTGTCACAGAGAGAAAGAGAGAAAGAGAGACAGCAAGCGAGAAAGAGAGAGAGCACTGGTTTGTTAATCCTTCCGGCCCCCCCTCCAATGAAACCGCACCTCGTTCCCAAGAGCACCATCCACCAACACGGTAAGTCATGGCCGCTGCGGCTGTCGCTTCATTGTCACTATCTTGTGTGGGTTAACTCAGAGATGGTTAGGAATAGCTTGGTAGCTGTGTCGGGACAAGAAGTTCACAATGTGGGCACTGGTCTCCCTCATGTCTTGAGGGGTAACTGGGCTCGTGGTGTGAGGGCAAGAAGGCGAAGGAAGTAGCGGAGTGCTGTGGGACGACGTTTCAACCACAGTTGAAAGAACCTCGGAGACAAAATGACCCCATCACCTCTCACAGTAGTGAAGGGTAAAGTCTTTGGAGAGCTGCTTCTCCCCTAACCCCCAGGGCTCCAGCTCAAATTTGTCCCCCACATCATCCTCATCATCTTCCCCATCTTCATCTTCCTCCTCGTCCTCCTCATAGTGGCTGGGCTCTTCAATGGATGTCTCCAGGTGGTAGGAGTAGGGCTGACCCTCGGTGTACTCGTAGATCGTCGGCAGGCTGCTCTTTAGGCTGCAGCGCCGGCGCAATGCGACTAGCAGAGGCTGAGGCATGGTGAAAATGTCCATGTTGTTCCCTAGGTCGATCCAGGCCAGGCTGGCGAATTTCTTGGGGTCTTTGAGCATTTCGGTGAGGTCTTTGAGTATAGCCAGGGTGAGGCGGTTGCCATTGAGGGCTAAGGTGCTGAGTTTGGGCAGCGAGGCGAGGAAAGGCAAGAGAAACCTCAAATTTTCGTCAACAAGTTCGGTGAAGCTGATGTCTACAGCCACCACACTGTCTCTGTTGTTTTGGAGGTAGAAGGCGACTTGACGGACGTCCCGGGTTGAGAGGGGAATACCAGACAAGTCGACGGAGTCACTGGACATTTTTTTCTGTAGGGTTGTCTTGAGACTGTTGGGAATATGAAGAAAAGAGAGTGGTATTACTTAGATGTCTCTTGCACATACACAGACAGAAATTGCTTTTGGCTGGAGGATGAAATGATCTTTGAATGATTCCCCGATTGATGAAAAAAACAAAGCAGTAGTTTTATGCTGTGTTTCCTGAGCTGTATAAAGGAGGGGGCTAACTGGTCCAGCTTGAGCGGAAGGCTGGTACAGAGAGTCCAGCATGGGGATTTGCTAGTGTAAACAGAAGAGTCAAAACATCCGAGCGAACCAGCAGCTTGAGCTTAAAGCTCTATGGGCCAGAAGCACGGGGCTCCTTATAGTGCAAGGTCACAACCGTTTCCCCCTGCAGAGATAAATTATGAAGTGCTTTGGAGGAACTAATCTGAATAAATCTGGCCATTTCAGTTATGGGGAGGCTAAAGAAAGACATGACTTTGCCTCTTTTCTTTTGTTGGTCAGCGACGTGCCACCTGATAACAGATTTTGGTGCAATTGAGCAAAGGAGTATGGAATCACACAAAACGTCCCCAGTTTGCTACACATAACAGAATCTTCTCATGAGCCGTGGCTGACATGTTGTGTATGAATGTCTGTAACACATCATGATTAGGCCACAAAACATATGCCGCAGGAATGCAGCAATGAATAATGCGTCATTAATTCACACCGCTCGCCATTAATAAATTATCACGTCAGAATGACTATTCATGCAAATAGCTAACACTTAATAAATTACAAGCTAAATATGATCTCACCCATTAAGTAACCTGTATCATAATAACTGTGATTCTATTACAGAAAAGTGCTTTTTTGTTTGTTTGTTGTAGACAGCAGCTTTTGACAAGCCTCTTTGAGAGGGAAGAACATGCAATGTGAGTTTGAAGTAGCCAAAAACATTTAGCAGGTGATGAATAATGTCACAGATAAACGATCATGAGCTCATAAAGGAAAACTTGATATCAATCTTGTTTTTGGCTTCTGACTGTGGCTTGTCAGCATTACGCAGTACTGTATCTGTGGATCAGTGGTTCATGCAGCAACATGTAGATGTACACCTGCCAGCCAGGTTTCTCAAAGCACCTTATGTATGAGGACTTTCATAAAGGTCGACTGAGCGCAGTGGAAAACTGCAGTGAGTTTGGTGGCATAGAAATGAGTGCGTTAACTCTGATACTGACAGACATTAATTGTTGGCAGATTGGTTTAATTTGCTCACATGAACATACACTGATCTGACTACAGTGACTTTACAACACCTGCTATAAACAAGGCAGACAAACATTCTTTAAGCTCAGCAGATGCTTTAACACGATTATAGCATGTTTGAAAAGTTCAGTCCCTCTGCCTGATTTTTCTGTCTCTAAAGGGGATTTCTGAGTTGAAATTCAATCAGGGAAGCTTTAAATGATTACTTTTCTGCCCAGGATTTCTATCTGTTTCAGTGCATACTCAGTATAACCCCTGGAATATCTTCGAAATCCTTTCAGGACATTGCATAATGAAAGCACGATTTGAAGCCGAATCTAAATATAGGCGATATTAAGATCCCTTTCTGCAGCTAGCATTCGTGCCGAAAACATTTCTGAATTACTTGCACGCTCCTTTGCCCCTTTGTTTGCAGTCCCTTACATTTACAAGCGCCCGACTCACCCCAGCCCTAGAGGAGGCAGTGTGTTTAACTTGAGCTGTTACTGAAGTGGTCTCCAAGCTGATTTGGTGTCAGAGTGAATTAAAGCATTCCCAGCGCCCTTGCGACTTACTGTGACATGCACCTGTCACTTGTTATGCACCCAAGTGGGGTTTTTTTTGTGGTGCTGAAAATGGATGTGCCCTCAGCAGCATGCACAGCTCCTTTTTTTTAAAAGCAGGTGATGGGCTGATGATCAAATAACTCGTGAAAACCCCCCCAAAATATGCAGATATCACCAGGATTTAAAAAGAAGTTTTAATCAGGTGCAGAGGACAAGAAATATGCCAAGCATGCTGCACTTCTATCAGACTCTTGTGAGCCAGAGTTCTTTCTCTCTCTTCTGTCTCTCGCATCCTTTTTTACATGACAGAAACCTCATTTTAACCAGAGGCACAAAGGTCCTAATGGCCGTGGCAGAGGCTTCGCTCCAGGTGTGAATAGGTTTTGATCACGCAGCTCCTTCCTTTTCAGACAGGCTTTTGAGCCCAGTCTGCACAAAAAAAGTATGTCTGAGGCATACACACTTCTTTCATCCTGCGTCAAGATTTGATACCACAAAACATGAGCGCTACTGATAACTTTGAGTAGATGGTTTTTCTTGTGAATTCTACATCCAAGAACATGAATATCAGGGCTCAGTTTAAATTAAGAAACAGTGCAGAGGTATGATGCTGGATATCTGTGGCTAAGTAGATGCCCAAAGAAATAATAATGGACACTGAATCCAGTAAGGACTTACAGTAATGACATCAGCCTTTAATAACAATGCATATTTACAAACAAGCAACCTAATAAACACCCTTTACATAGTTAAGAAATCAATTAATTTTACATTGTGGTGCCATATATTAAGTATTCCCACCAAGAGTGCACCGCTTGTCTCTACGTGTGGCTCATCAGTCTCCAAGTGTCAGCGATTTAATGCAACGAGGCCGCGTTCTAATTCAGTAAGCACAAATCAAATCGCTGTTGGGATTTAATAAAGTAAATATTCATTCTAAAGCTTGCTGAGTAGAAGTGAGATTATATATATATATTTTTTAAATTAAGAAACAGTTTTTTCTAAACATGCAGTTCAGTTTCCTCCTCATCTCCCCTCTGGGCTGTTATTGCATTACTCACGCCATTTTGTCTTTTTTGTCGAGTCATTTACGTTCAAACTTTTCTCTATTATTCATCTCAGTCCTCTGGTGGGTAAAGCCCATCTGCACGAGATGAGCAGTCTCGTCACACCTGCTCCCTGATGTCACGTATATTTTCCACTGCACACTCATCATAAAGACGTACAGATGAGGTCGGCGTGCACTACAGATAGAAATCACACGCACATAATCCCTCTCAGCACTGCATTGTCCTTCATGCTGCAGGGTATTCAACCTCACACTTCACAATCCGTATCGCTAAAGGCAGTTCCCTCCCATGCACCAATCAGCCGCAACATTAAAGCCACTGACAGGGAAAGTGGATAACTCTGAATAGCTTGTTGCAGTGTAATGGACTGCTGTAAAATCCTGGATCCTGGCGTTTATGTGGACATTATTTTGACATATACTGCCTACCTAACATCCCTACAGACTTGGCTGACACCCGTCCATACAAGCCCCAAGCAAGTACTTGAGGGAACTTGTGGTGCTTTTGAGGATCCTTTAATGACCATACAACACAGATTAAGCCTAAAAACTATATGATAGTTCAGGTTATTCTGTTTCTGAGTGTTAGGTGAGAAAACAAAAGCAAATTATTAAGTCACGTAAAGCTTATGGGAAAGAAAAACACTTCTGTAAAAGTCAAAAAAGAGAAAAGGTCACAAAAAGTGTCTGCAAATTTTATACTGACATGAATTTAGCCTTAAGGTGAGAGCACTTCAGTAGCGTATCTGGGTCACTGCATCCATCAAGCCCATTTTTTTTCATTGCACTTGGAAAAAAAAACCAAGGAAAGTTTTCTAGCCAATCCTAAATAAACTAATTAGATTAGATTGAGATTAATGGGATTACTGAGTTTCAGATATTAATTCAGTGTGGCATTTCAGTCACACAAGTGTGTACAGTACTTAGAGGACTGCGTGTGCCGCACTAATGCTAGATAATGAAGGGATGAACAGTCCCGTGGCATTGAAAAGGACTGAGCTGTTTCTGTTTCCTCTGAGTGGAGAGAAACCCCACAGAAATGGATTTGTTGCTTTTTTTTAAATTTTATTTCTTGCACAGAGGAGCCAGGCTGTCTGCAGCTGAACAAAGATTAAAGAGAAAGGGAATATAAATCCACTCTAAATTTGTATTTGTGACACACTTTCTTTGGTTTATTTGCTCTGTAAATGTAGACCAATAAAACCTTATTTGACAAAGGATAGACTTGGAATTTCTACAAAAATGCTCTTATGGTTGTGTGATAGTTATAAAGTTACAGCCAAGAACACAAGCAGTGGCCTAGCTGCACCTCTGAAGTTCACTTTTTTAAAAACAAAATATGATGTTTTTGTTTAATTATTGACAAAAAACACGGTTCTAATGTTTTATTACACTCAAAGTTGATAGACTGTTTATAAAAAATGGACATACTAACAAGTTTGTCTCCTACTGGTTTCTGTTGCCTTAGGTTTAGCACTCGACGAAGAGAGTGATATTGTAGTGTGAATGTGTGTGTGAATGGGTGAATGACTGAATGTAGTGTGAAGCGCTTTGGGGTCCTTAGGGACTAGAAAAGCGCTATACAAATGCAGGCCATTTAGAGCTGCCAGCTTAAGCCACAGACTGTATATGAAAGATGGACATAGCTTCTGTGAAAAAGCCGAGGGTTTTCGCCTACGTCATCTGTGTGTTTAAAATCAGATGTAAGCAAGCGGCAGATTTGAATGAGAAGCCAAGAGACACTGGATAGTTATAGGCTAGCAACTTAATAATCACACATATCCTGCTTTAACCTTCTTTTTGACTCTAATGTGGAACATGACTTGAAGTGATTTAAATAAGTATGTAGAGTGAAATTTGTTTTAATTCATTCTACACAAGTTAAAAACTTTAGGAAAACACAATGAAATCTTGTTGTTTGAACAACTACTTTGTTAATCAAGGCAATTACTGCTAGTCTTGCTTAATTAACCAATATGGGGGTTGATGATTTCATAGAGACAAACAACCATTTGCTCTTACATTCATGGGTAACTTAGAATCACCAATTAACCTAACTCTAATAACACACTGCAAACCAGCCAGATGTGGATTTGAACCCAGGCCCTTCTTGCTGTGAGGCAACAGCACTAACCATCACGCCACAAAGCTGTCAAGCCAGGCTCAACAAAACTAGGAAAGCTATGATTACAAGGCTTGATACAGAATTCTCCGTACGTTTTTGTCCTTGACAGGTTAAACCACAATAAATAGCGATAGCACATACATGGTGTGGGTATAGTTGTCTGGCTCTTAAAACTCCAGCGATTTTCCTGCAGTTTGAGATCTAATGTGATCTTGTGATCAACTAACAACTAACCACTCTTACTAGATTATCATGTCATCTCAACAAGAACAAATTAAGTCCTACCTCAAAGCACACTGTGCGCTGTCGATCTTACGTGCTGCACAATAATGTTTAATATTTAGTATTTACTGTTATATTCCCATATGTCATCGTGATGTTCTTTTGCTCTCGTTTTCTTCTGCTTGTTTTCTTTTTTCATTCTCAACAGGTGAAATTAATAAAAAAAAACAAAAACAAAAAAAGAACAAATTAAGTTGCTGAATTTCATGCAGATGCTACATGATTTAATTACGTTCACCATAGAAACATGAAATTATTTAGTACATGTAACAACCACCCAATTTCTTTTTTTTTTGAGTGTGGACTTCTTTTAGTAACAAGAGGAGTCGCCTCCTGCTGACCTTTAGAAAGAATGCAGGTTTAGCCAATGTTTTTGTATTGGCTAAACCTTGGCTAAATTCGTTTTTGAGGGGGTGGTGGGGTTGGTTCTTTTTACAGTTTATAGCCAACGATGACTAGTCGGCTTGGATAGCATGGCACATATAATTGACTGTATCTGTACTCAATGAACTGGACAAACCAAATTCGACTCTGTTGTGTGACTGAAACTCGACGATACAGCACCCAGTTGTCACTCAAAGCTGCTATTCCCTAAAAACACAACTTTCTTCTTCTGGCCACAACAATAATGTAATAATATATATTTTCTGTACCTACAAGGCAAGTAATTACAACACAAGCACAAAATTATGCCACACAGTATAATACATACTTTAGTTACTGTAAAAAAAATATTCACAAGCTTTAAGTTATATAAGAAATCTTCACCTTTTAGTTTTCAACAAAAGCAAAATAGCTACTGACGTTTTGTAGATATGTGACTGTTTCCGGTCACAAAGGCCTAGAGACTGGATTGTGACAATTTAGCAACCACTAGTAATGAGGGGAAAAATATTTATTCCCTGACCTGCCGGTGAGTGGTGCCTGACAGTTGATGGGAAATTGATTGGATACATGAAGGGTTTTGGTACATGACCATCTTTACAACCGATCTTATCCAGCGACAGCCAGCAACCAGTTGCAATTTACTTGGGGAATACACATGTTTTCCTATTGATCAATGGTTGTATTACAGCTCAGTGTTGGACAGCTCTTGTTCAAAGTGCACATAATTTTTTTTTAATGTACTAGGCTTTGTTTATGCAAAAGTGTCAAAAATGAAAAAGAGTGGCTATGGAGACTAAGTCACTTTTTACTTTACATCTCAGAGAAAAAATTAATTATATGGTTTGATTTTTGTGAGCTTCACAGATGCTAGCAGATGTCCTAAATATATCTAACAAAGTCAATCTTTGTGCCTAATTTTAGTAGTTATTCCAGGCTAAGCTAATTGCTAAGCTAAACTGCTAGCAGAGTTCCCAAGAGGCAATGCAAGTTACTCTAAATGACCTTATAAATATTTGAATCAGAAATAAAATGATGAGTTAAGCTCTTAACTGGAAAAAGTAGGCTATCTCCAAAAACTTAAGTTTGGGAGGTGAACTTCCTTTTCACAGTCAGCAGCAGACTGGACCTGTCTCATCTCTTTCTAGCCTTGACAGGTATTTGTTCATGAACACAACAGCAGGCGAAGCTGTCAGAGCTCACAACACCTGCTGTATTAATATTCTGTTTTAGGGTGGATTTCTTGTTTTAATGATTCATGTTGCTCCTGCTGTCTCAGCCAGTGTCACACCGTCTCACTGCAGGTTTATGAAGCCAACAACAAGACTAAGTGAAAAAGAGCATTTAGCTATCGGAATTTAGCGACTGTATGATTCCACACATTTTCAGAGAAGCTGTCAGTTTCAGTAAAGTCGTGTTTTTTTCCTCTTCCGAGCTGAAATAAATGTCTGTGAGGACAACAAAGCCCTGCCTGTGCAGCTAAACAGTGAAATGTCTGATCTACATAAGCTTTTCTTCCAGTTTTTGCGTGTCACCTCTGAATGACTCGCAATAAACCCGTCTGATCTCGCTGAGCTCACATCGTCTCGTTTTCAGCCCTCAGATTGTTTTCATCTCTTTAAAATTAATCCATTATTTGCAGTGTGTAGTCAGATGTAGAATAAGCAATTACACGAGAAACAATTATGATAGGCTTTTTCTGTTCATGAATAGGATTACCAAGTAACACCTAGACACAAAAAATGTTGTTTGTGTTATTTGTGTGCAACCTAATTCTCTATTCATCATTTGCACATCAAAAGCAATGCACTTTTTCATGAAAATAGCTACAATTACATTTTAGCACAACCCTCCCAGCTTTTTTTGGCATACAGATGACACGTTTGCTGCCACTTTTGAAGAGCGAAACGCCAGTAGCGATGCAAATCCACCGCACGGTCCTCTCAGATATGATTGACAGCTGTGGTTATTCTTAACGTTTCTATCAGGTCAGCCCATGGCCAGCTCTGTCGTATTTCAGTGTCGGGTACAAAGATGAAAATCTCTACTGCTCGACATGGAGCCGAGCCCTGTTCTCTGTTGTGTGTGCGGCGGCTGACTTATTACAGACTGAATGTCTGGACAGAAGGGCTTACCAGGCCTGGGATTTCCGTCTGGACATGCTCTGCCTCAACCACTTTGAGTGTGGGGTCAGGTGATAGATCAGCTGTCTGCAAATCTTATCAGAAGACTTTATGGTGTCTGCATCCTGTAGACGAGGACAGAAAGAGTGCTGATAAAGGAACACAGAGCATGAGAGTAATAGTACTAAGGCAGCAGCTTTTTCTGCCCGTGGAAGTAAAAGAGAAAAACAGTTCTTTGCAGCTCTTTATATCTCTCAAGGTTTTAAATCCTGCCAAGTTTCCTCGATTCTTTTTTTTTTTCACACTCATCAACCTGTAGCTCCACCATATTTCACCTGAACAGAAATCTTAATGGTTTATTATTATTCTTGAAGCCTTGAGCTACTCCTGAACAAAACACAATTTAACTGACTTGCTGGAGCAAGAAAATCTAATCACATGCAGCATGCACTGGGAAGCAAAACACAGGAAGTAGTAAGCAGAGGTGACATACAGCAGCTACTGATAAACCCAGATAATTTCAATGTATTAATCATGCTGTGGCTCCTGGTGACCACTGCCTACATAATAATAATAATAATCATCATAATAATAATCATCATCATAATAATAATAAAAATAAAAATAATAATAATGATTCAGTTTTCATCTTTGATTTTTCAGACAGGCTGAATTACACATTCCCATCTGTACATAAAATTCAACCTTATTCTGTTTCAAGGTGCTATTTTGATTTATTCAATCTTGCTGGCACTGTCAGGTCACTCCAGCTTTATGAGTTTCAGGTATGAAAAATTTAACAAACTGCATTAAGCGGTTTTCCAGGATTCTTACTGAGCAGCTATTTCTAGCTCCTCGAGAGTAACATGTGTCGGCGGAATTTCTTTCGAGCATCTGTCGTAGGAATGTCAATAACATCCTCGGATGAGATTTTCTTAAGAAGACAGCGATTCACAAACGGAATTCATAAGGGAAATGTTCTTAGGAGAAAGCTTTCCTTTGCAGAGTGCTAACACCAAGCTTGTCAGGGAAACACAAAAACACACAGAAAAAAGGAAAGAAACCTGACCTTCTTAGGACACTGCATCTCTCGAGCCAGGCTGAGCAGCAGCTCGTGTGAGATGGGATCCACTAGATTGAGGAAGGCAGCGTTTTTGTACAAGATGTCATTGAGCGATGTGCCTTCTAAACCCAGATCCTACCAGAGAAGACAAGATAACAAAAAAGAATCACAAACCCAGCAAGATGCAGTTGCAGAAATACACAATTAGGGGTCTAAGAATGTTGATTTAGTCCGACAAACAGGTCCCTACTGTGTCAAGGGGATCGTGACTCCTAATGGAAAGATAAAAGAAGCGTTTTGTTTTAAATATTCATTAAAGAAGACAGGCTGCGTTTTCATGTACAGTAGCAAAGTGAAATGTAGGTGGGGGGGGAGTCACTGGGGAGAGGCTGTGTTTGGACATATCACCCCTCGGTGGCACTTATCCACAGGGCATATCTTGACATGCCATAGTGCTTACTGTTTGCAGAAAGCAACCCATGCCTGACTCTCTCTGACCTCATGTTAATACCTCAGATCAAACCTCTGATTTCTACATGCTCTACTTTCATTGGTTGTTTAAAACTTGGGGAAAAAACAACTCAACCCAATAACTTTCAAATGCATTTAATATCTCAGTGCACATGCATCTATTTTTCCTCATTTATAATTCTCTTCTTGCCGTGGCACTTCAATATGTTAGAGTTTGAATACATTTCATTTGTACTGCACGTAAATACATCTGCAAAGAGGTCAGAACTGACAGCTGTCACGGCAGCTTGCACGCAGTTATGATGAATCCGAGAGGATCTGCGGTGAAAAAAAGAAATCAAACCAACTAAAAAGAGGAGATGTCAGATGACCTTTCGAGAGTGATGAGACAAGCAGCAGTCAGCGGTGCTGCTGTGCGCGCTGAACCATACCAACTCGCCTTCATCCACATGTCCATCCTCAAGGTCCTAATGAGCCAATCTATGATGGCGAGCACTTGTGCAGCCCATGCAAGTTTAATGAGAAAAGAAAGCCTTTGAGACACTACATACGGTACGCACACACCTGTGCACATGCACACACATTCAGACACATCCGCTTTTTTTCCTTCCTTAAACACAATCTGCATTGATTGTAAAAGACAGTTGGAGTGGGAGGCTTGCAGCTTCACATTCCCGGCAGTCCTTTTAACAAGGGTGGCAGTAAACACAGACTGAACCCAAAGCATGGGAGAAACTGCTTTTGCTCTTCTAAGAAAGACTTCTAAGAAAGAGAAGGTGTAAAAATATCTTCCTTCAGTGTTCATGCCTGATCAACTGTCACGTGCGAGTGTGAAACCAAGCCTGGATCCGTCCTCATATCTGCAACGAAGCTCAGATCTCTTTCCTATCTGCGGCAGAGCTCGCTGTTACACACCAATTAAATCTGCAGCTAATTCTGAGAACAGAATCTCGTCAATATCTGCTGCAAACTCTGCAAGAAAAAAAAAAGATAAAGTGAGGATCATTTAACAAAAGTAGAGCTCATTTAGGGGAAAGTGAGCCTCCCGTCCCCTGTGATGTGGCTGTCATGGAGCCTGGCCAGGCCAGTTTATCTCCTTGGCTTGATTAAGGAGGTTCCACTCTCTCCTGTGTCAAGGCTTCAGAGTAATTAACACCGGACAGCTAAAAGACAGAGGAAAGCCCTAAGGGCAAGCAAACAAATGAGATCACTTAGGATATTGCTGTATCTTTGATGTGTCCACATATTCTTTCGTGCGTGTTTTACACATTTGCCAAAGCAGGCGAGAAGAGGCTTTAAAGAAGCCCTTTGATTAAGATCCTGTATGGTGGAGTGTAGGACATTTGAGGTCATGTGTACAAAACTCGTCCTACTTAATTTTGCAAAAACTACATCAAATCATCGCACTGAGTGTGTTCTTAGCTTGATGATGATGCATTTTAGAGGTAATTGATTTAGTTTCCTCAATTCATTTTAAAATGACAAAAATACCAAATCTTCACATGACTATAGGCACACACACACACACACACACACTAGAATATTTACAAAAATAAATAAATAAGGAAAGCAATGACAGTGGCCTAGACTTTCATTTCTTTAGGTAAGAGTTAATAAAACCTTTTGAAGTGGAATAATATTTTGTATTGGTGAACACAAGACTTCAGGGCTCTCATTGTTGCTGCTGGAGCACAGGCCATTACAGTGAGAGAGAGAGACATTAAGAGTGGGGAGTGATGGAGGTGCTAGGTCGCTCTAATGGGCACATTAGAACAGCCTAAGGAAAAGGTGAAACTCTGGCTTGGCTTTAGAAGAGAAGGGAAACAAGGACAAATGCAGACAGGGATGGAGATTTATTTGTGCTCTGCATTTCAGGAAATATCCAGAACCATCAGGAGAAAATCAAATTTGAGGTAATGCGATGACACAGTGTGGAGTTTGAACATTTCCTCATTCGGTGGGTAGGTAATCCTATCAAATCTAATGTCAACACTGAGCAGGTTTAGCCACAGTGAGAGAGAGTGGTGAGTCACGTGCTGTGTCTGCCAATGAAACACTGTGTCACAGGTACAGTGCTCTGCCAGTGGCCTACTTTCCATAAAAAACAAATGCTTCAGGAGGAAGTGGCCAAAGGAGTGAGCCCACACACGCGTGTAGTAACCGCAAAGGGAAATGAACGAATAATGTGGGCTTAGGTCAGAGGTCAGAGGCCGTTACAGAAAATGCAGGAGAACACTACAGTGCACCTGTGCCACCGCTACATTTTGGATATGCATGCAAAAGACTCATTCACGCACGTACACAGTCCCTCATCGCTCTCTGTGAGATGGGAAAACAATGCATGCCCGCATCAGCACCACAGCAGGCTTTAGGGCAGCGCTGCTGTTGGCAAACAACGTCCGACTTCACCATGCCCTGTGCAGGTTCCTTCCTTACCTTCCTCAGTAATTTGAGCACGTCGGTCGCCTGGTCTATCCTGCGGTCACGGAGCAGCTTCTGGATCTCTTTGATCCACGCCACTCTCCTCATGTACGGGCTGTGGTTAGTCCTTCGCAGCATTCCAGGCAGTTTGTCTGATTTGAGCATCAGCGCAAACAGAAAGTCCCCGCCGCCCCGACCTCCCCTCTCGCTCTCTCCGGCGCTGTTCAGGAGCTTGCGTCGCCTTTTGGAGAAATTCTCGTTGTCCAAGCTGCTCTGCCTGCTCAGTCTGGAGCCCATGGTGTTTTTGTTGTTTGTTGGCTTGTTTCTTTCTCTTTTTTTTGACACAGTCAGACAGCACCACTACCAAAAGGACAATCCCATGATGAGCTCCAGTTGCCCGTTTCCAGCAGATGCTCCTAAGTGGATGGTAGAGAGAAAAAAAAAAACAAAAAACAACAGCGTCGTGTTGTCTGGCTCTGCGACTGGCTGTCAGATGGCTGGGGATCCGGTACAGAGCCACATAATATCCTAGAACGCTCTAAACGATCATCGTTGCCTCGTGCACCCGTCACGCGTTAGTATATCTCGCTTTGTTTTTCTCCTCCGTCGCCGCCACTGTGCGCTACGTGCGCCAGGCTCAGATGATGATGATGATGCTCCGGCTGCTTCATCCTCCGGTCGTGTCTGCTTTTACGCTGCTGTTTAGATTTGTGCAACGTGGAGAGTCCGACCAATCGCAGCATCTGGTGCCTGCTGCGCGTCTCTCCTCCCAGCCATAAACCCCCCTCAGCCCTCTCCCTCTCCTCCCCGTGCAGCTGCAAAAAGGGGAATCAAATCACAAGAATATTCAGCACGTGATACCAATGTAAGCAAAAGAATCGTTGAAAGAAAGGGATTTTTTTTAAATGCTCTGAATGTGCCACTTTCAGTTTGATTTTTTCTTTTTCTTAGGGGGGTCTTCGGTTTATCCTCCAGAAGACCTGAAAGTTTGTCTTTTAGCTCCAGCTTCTCAAGTACGTGCTTCGCCATGGGCCCCGGTATAAATCTGAAATTTCTCTTTTGGCAGTCTTGTTGTTGTTCAGCCTTTGCATGAGCTATCAGCTCCTGTTTGCATCAATCACAGCTTCACTAAGTCACAGAATTCACTGAAAAATATCCACATCTCGTCTTTTGTCACATTGCCATCTCTCTTTATTTATTTCCACGGAGGACGGTGAATGGGGGGCCCCTGAGGTGCAGCCAGCGACATAATAGACAGCTCTCAGTTATTTCAGCCCCCATCCACACCTATTCTATTTGTAGCCCAGCTCCCATCATTGTGGCTTTAAGGACTTTGAGCCTGACTTGACCTTATTTGCTCTCATGATTCAGGCTCACTCTTGTTTAGTGGAGAGCACAGCGCTGTGATCTGTTGTCTAATAATTATTTTCCCTGGCTGTGGACCGGCCCAGCTGCATATTTTTTTAGAGGTTGTAATTATGATTGACCAGTGCCCTTAATTTAATGCAGCATCCTCACGGCACTGACTTGTTTTGTCAGATCCTTGACTCTCGGAGCAATGCCGGTAAAGCGACCCAATTGAACGGCTTGCTCTAAATGCTGCTTTCCTGTTTCAGGTTTGCAAAGTTTTTGTGACAAGAGAATTAAATCTGCGCCTAGAAACAGTTAATGGACATTAAAAAAAAGATTCTCAACCCAGTGGCCAACTTTTGGTGGGGTCTGGTGATGATTAAGGTGCACCGCTTTTACAGATTCTGTTTGATTTACATATCACAGGGAGCACTACTCTGTCAGCTTTATTATATCCTGTGTGATTGCAGCTTCACAGTGGCAGCAGGGTTATCGCTGTTTGAAAGAGACTCACATTTAACAGGCAGAGAGGGTCTAATGGGACAAATTAATGAGTACACATACATACATTTTTATTACTATTTTAAAGCTCTTCTAAGCTTTGCATCAACCCATTATCTACAATATGGGGAATTCTCTTATTGTAATATTCAGTATTTGTTGTCCTTTTCTGTCTTGACAAGCCGAAGCACGTTAATCTATAACTGTTCTAGCTGAAGATGTTTATGAACTGCAGGTTAATTGATATCAACATGATGTAGCACGACAAATGAAATAGTAAAAAAACCCAAAAAAAACAAAAACAGGTCATGGTCAAAATAGCAAAGAAATCACGCAGCCCAAGAGGATAACAGTGAAACAGTGATGTCATTTTCTTGCCCCCAAGCAGCTTAGTGGTTAGGATGCTGACTCTGAGTGGCAACCATTTTTCTGGGGTTGGCAAAACTGAGCTTTTGTTCTGCTGTTGAATCCGTGTAGGCTCAATAGTAATGTTCTATTGTGGCCGTTTACTACTGTCACATCTAATTATATTATGATGACTCATATATAATAAGCAATTTCTTCTTCTTCTGGCCTCTTCTCCTATAGATCACCACAGTGAACATTAGCCTCCATCACGCCCTATCCCCAGCATCGTCCTCTGTCACACCAACCCTCTGCATGTCCTTCATTTCTTAGTGGTCTTTCTCTTTTCCTCTTGCCTGACAGCTCCATCTCGGACACACTTTGTCCAATATATTCACTATCCCTCCTTTGCACAATTCCAAACCATCTCAGCCTTGCCTCTCTGATTTTATCTCCAAGCTGCTCAGCCTGAGCTCTCTCTGATATTCTAATCCCATCCATTTTTGTCACAGCCCAAGAAATCTTCAGCATCTTCAGCTTTGCCTTCTCTCTTTTTGTCAGTGCCACTGTCTCCAAACCAAACATCATAGCACGTCTCACTACCGTATAGTTTCCCTTTCATGCTTGCTGCTGTTCCTCTGTCACATATCACCTCTGTCACTAATCTCCACCCTACCTCTACTCTCATCTTCCCCTCTCTTGTGCTTTGGATGGTTGAACCCAGGTATTTAAACTCATCCACCTTCATAACCCTTACTCCTTGCAGCTTCACTGTTACACTTGTCTCCCTCACATTCACACAAATGTATTGTTTCTTGCTTCTGCTGACCTTCGTTCCTCTTCTCTCTAGAGTATACCTCCACATCTCCAGGCTCTCTTGCACCTGTTCCCTGCTCTCACTACAGATCACAAAGCTGTCTGCAAACATCACAGTCCATTTAGACTCCTGCCTGACCTCATCTGTCAGCCTGCCCATCAGCACTCCAAACAAGAAGGGTCTTAGAGTCAATTCTTGATAAAATCTCACTCCCACCTTTCAGTCTTATTGCACACCTCACCCTACGATCCCTGTCCTCATACATATATCCAAAAACAGCTGCTGTAGAAAAAATGTAACTCCAGTTCTCTTAATTTGTGCACATACCACCGATCAGGTTTCACTGTTGTTGTGTGGGCCTATTAAAGTAGTGGCTGTGGCCTTCAGTTTTCCCACTCCACCTAGCAGCGATACCGTCACTTCAAATTGCACCCCTTGGCCTATAACTCACAAAATCAGTCAAAAATCCCCCCAACACTGCACACTGTGTTAAATTTGACCCGTTCATGTACACTGTAAGAGGTTGCAAACAAAAAAAGACTGGGTGGCCTCTGTTCTCCCTCATTTGTACAGTGCTGCTATGACAGAAGCAGCTTAGCTACCAACTCCTAATTGCAGCACACATCCCAGAGCCTGTCTGTGGCGTCCCTATCATTAAAAGGAGCACAGCCGGCCATAAAAACACATTACATCACCTTTCTGCTCTCCATGTTTCTGCAGGCTGCGTTTCACCTGTCGCTGAGGAACAACAGCAGCGTGTGATCAGATCTGCTGCTGCGTATACAGGAATAAACAAGCCTCCCTCTTTATTGTACGAAAAACAACTGGAGGGAAACATGGTGGGTAGTGTGAGTGTATCGCTCCCATCAAAGTCAAAACGAAACCTATAAGCCTCTAAGCTGACGGATAAAAATATGAAAAGAGCTCCAGCTGATATTTCACACAACAACTCGGGTGCAGTGACAGTGCTGTTCGCATTAAAACTGAAGGAAGCACTGTGATCTGTAACTAAACAGAAATGTAATTGCTCTTTTCTGCTATAAATCAGCTCTGCCTGCTGAACAAACTCCCCTCTCTTGGGGTGGCTCTGAACATGGGAGATCCAGAACAGGATATAGTAATTAGATTTAGAGACAATCATAGCAGCAGCAGCAGCAGCAGACCACAGGCTCCTTTGACAGCACTTTATCAGTGTGGCCCAGCAACAGGAGTGCACGCTGGATTAGCCGAGGTACCACAGAAGGGTATTTGCTGTTCTGCAGCTACCGTCACCGATGCTGCCAGCTTGGACTTGTGCTCCCGGGCGAAGGCGAAGGCATCTTAATCGGTCTGAGGACGCCTGCAGAAAAAGCCAAATAGAATGTGACACGGTTACTGAGCATGGCAACGCTGCTGGCCGAGCCAATCACACAGAGCCCCGAGTCAGAGCTGAATGCTGCTTGCATCTGTAAACAGATCACTCTCACCTTCACTTTGTCAAACCTGGCAGATTGATATCCGAGTGAAATGGAAAGTTATAGAGCACCAGAAAGACAAACTTGAGAGCTTCACTCCAAAGTGATCAGTGATGTGCAGAGCAGTTGTTGTTTGGAGAGAGAAATATGATGGAAATAATAGATTGCAGCACCTAAATTCAGATTTTTTTTTAAAGAATTGAATGTGGATGTCTGCAAATGTGTTTTTTTTCTGTCAGAATTTTGAACCTTATTGTTTTTCTTCCAACATCCCCAAGAGCTAACACACACACAGTAGGCACTCCAGAAAGCTTTGATGGTGATTGCTTTCCACCTCTCATCTTCCTCTATGCTTTTTTTCCCTCTCTCTCCGTATATATATATACACATTTATTTTTCTTCTTCTTAATAAAAAACAAAACAAAAAAACCCCAGCATTGCTCATATGAAAGGACTGCTCATCAGAATCACAGTGTGACACCTGAGCGAAGTCACACCTTCAAACCAAGATGACACAGCACACATCAGCGGAGACTTTAGTTAGTTATATAAAACACACTGTCATTACTGCTAAGGCTCAGTAAGAGTCAGGTCATTCCTTCTGTTCTGTCCAGCATTTCCAATGAGTCTGTGAAACAAACAAACCAAAGGTGAGTGAAATAAAAATGTGGTGTTCTTTTTGCTTCAGATTTTTAAACATATGTAAATGTTTGGCTCCCAATTAAAAAATAATGATAGGCGATGTCTGGAGGAGAAGACTGTTGCTTCTGAGCTGAAGAATCCGGTGTCTTTCCGAGGTGTGCTGATTTCCCCGTGC